TTTTGGGGCTCTGACCCCCCCGATTCCCCCCCAGGTACCCCAAAATCGTGGTGGGGGAGGGGCTGGAGGCGGTGCGGGAGTGGCTGGAGGCGGCGACCCCCGAGGAGGAGGGTGAGTGACCCCAAAATCGGGGTGGGACCCCAAAATCGGGGTGGGAACCCTCAAAATCTGTGTGGGACCCCCAGAATTGGGGTGGGACCCCCAAAATCGGGGTGAGTGACCCCAAAATCGGGGTGGGACCCCAAAATCGGGGTGAGTGACCCCAAAATCGGGGTGGGACCCCAAAATCGGGGTGGGACCCCAAAATCGGGGTGGGAACCCTCAAAATCTGTGTGGGACCCCTTAATCGGGGTGGGACCCCCAAAATCGGGGTGGGACCCCAAAATCGGGGTGAGTGACCCCAAAATCGGGGTGGGAACCCTCAAAATCTGTGTGGGACCCCCAGAATTGGGGTGGGACCCCCAAAATCGGGGTGGGACCCCCGAAATTGGAGTGGGACCCCCACAAAATTGGGGTGAGTGACCCCAAAATTGGGGTGGGACACCCCAAATTGAGGTGGGACCCCCAAAATTGGAGTGGGACCCCCAAAATTGGGGTGGGACCCCAAAATCGGGGTGGGACCCCCAAAATCGGGGTGGGACCCCCAAAATCGGGGTGAGTGACCCCAAAATCGGGGTGGGACCCCAAAATCGGGGTGGGACCCCTGAAATTCCAGCTGTGACCCCCGAATTCGGGTCTGACCCCCCAAAATCTGGGTGTGACCCCCCAAAATTCTGGGTTTTTTGGGTTCCAATCCCCTTTTTTTGATTTTAATTCTGAATTTTCGTGTCCCACTCCCCATTTTTGGGTTCCAAATCCCCATTTTTTGTTTGTAACTCTCAGTTTTTGGGTTCCTCTCCCCACTTTTGTGTCCCCCTCCCCATATTTTAACTCCCATTTTTCCTTTCCCCCTCCCCAATATTTTAATTTTAACTACATTTTTCTTCTCCCCACCCCCATATTTTGATTTTAACTACCATATTTGGATTTTCTCTCCCATATTTTGATTTTAAATCCGATATTTGGATTTTCCCTCCCCTATTTGGATTTTAACTCCCCTATTTCCATTTTCCCTCCCCATATTTCCATTTTCCCTGCAATATTTCCATTTTCCCTGCCCCTATTTCCATTTTCCCTGCCCCTATTTCCATTTTCCCTGCCCATATTTCCATTTTCCCTCCCATATTTCCATTTTCCCTCCCCTATTTCCATTTTCCCTCCCATATTTCCATTTTCCCTCCCCTATTTCCATTTTCCCTCCCATATTTCCATTTTCCCTCCCATATTTCCATTTTCCCTCCCATATTTCCATTTTCCCTCCCCTATTTCCATTTTCCCTCCCATATTTCCATTTTCCCTGCCCATATTTCCATTTTCCCTGCCCCTATTTCCATTTTCCCTGCCCATATTTCCATTTTC